ACAGAAACTAATGCATTCATACACATTCACACACCGATGCACAGCATCGGGAGCAATTCGGGGTTCAGTATCTTGCTCAGGGATACTTCGACATGCGGCGGGAGGAGCCGGGGATCGAACCAACAACCTTCTGATTAGAGGACAACCTGCTCTTCCTCTGAGCCACACATAATGGACACTCCATCGAGCATTATCCAGATGTGTGAAGATGCATACATGTGTGATGCAAACATCTCACAATTAGCCTCCAAACGGTGCAATTTTGTTCTCACTGAAGTTGACTTCAATTTTAAATGAATTAGATTAAAAAATGTCCCTTTCCCTCGCATTAAATTGCAAAAAATGCTAATACAAATAAAGCCTTCAAAATCCTGGAGGGACTGATTATCCCTCCCTCCAAGAGGTTTTTTAGTTCTGCTGACTTGCTCAGAGACTTGCTAAGCATTTAAATCTCAGAGGGTTCTCTCAGTGCTTAATTGATTTAAAATTGGGTTGAATTATCTGGATGAATGAAACTGATCAATACCAATCAGGCAGGGAGGATCAGAGATTCAGACTGAGAACTAAGTTTGTCAAAAACAATCTGATCTTAAGATAGTAGACTATGTGGAAGCATCACATTAAATCCCTCTCATGTTTTATTTGGGAAAATACGATTATTCTGTTTAATTTCAGGGGTTTACAGATTAGACTGATCAGGCTGCAGAATTAAAAAAAATACAAGACTACAAATTGGCTTAAGGCTACTGTATCAAGGTGAATACTGATGGATATACACCAGGTACCTACAGATGGGTGACAAGTAAAGGAAGAGCCAGAGTAAATCCATCAACATGCTGCAATTACAGATTCACTGCATGTCTCGCTGACAACTTATCAACTTTGGTCTGCGACAGATCAAACTCACACTGCGTATACCACCATCATCAAAACACATAATGACCGAATACTTTTTGGGAGACTGGTGTTTGTCTCTTCAGTAGCGGACCATAGACTTGGAGAATCTGTGACAAGGAAGTTGTTTTGGAGACTCACTGAGACACCTGTTGCGCCAGAACGTATTGATGTGTATGGGTTATATGTAACATGTAACTTTACCTACTGTATGTGAGCCTAAGTCTTTTTTAAATGAATCTAATATAACTAGACCATCATGTTGTCACACTAATGGAGGTCTGAATAAAATCTCGTTACTAAATCAGGTTCATGAGATATTTGGAGACCCTTAGACAGCCTCCAGAAACAGCAGCTCTGGGTAAATTTCTCTTCAGGTGAAAACAATCTGTCTTGTTCAGTGAGCACCAGCTGTCTTCAATTCTCTTATTTTTATTGGTCTGCAATGCAATGGCAGCCCAGTGTAACGAAGACCTTTTTTATCCAACCTTTGAGCCTGAATTTCCTCAGATCTAAGCTCAAGGGGCCAGAATCTTTCTGAGGAGGACTCGAAGAATCAGTCTGACTGAAGCCCCAGAGAAAGGAGCCGCAGAGTGAGAGTGCATGCAGCCACTTTATGGCATTTCCAGACACAACTGGAGTCGGTCTGAGCAATGACAGACTGTTTATTGGTCAAAACCATCTGATCTGCACATTCCTGCTCCCTGACACAATGGAGATGACATCAACCGACCAGTCTGCAACACCGCCAGTCTGCTCCGAAGTGACACTGAGAACCAAATTTGAAACACACACCGAAAAAAAATGTCCGACGCTCAGCTAACTGCTATGCATCTAAAAACACAATGATTACATCATCAGATACTGCCGGAGAGCTGATGTCAGGAGTCATTATGTAGGACGGGGGGCATCACTTTTTCCAACAGGACAAAACAACTTTTTAGTTTGCTGTATGTTAGTGGAGAGAGTGAGTGTATATGGTTGAGGCATACATTTTATATAACTGTTATATACTGTATACATACATGTATATATATATACATACACGGTTATATGCATCGTATGTGTGTTCACCTGGCTGCAAGACAAAAAATAAAATTCAAAATAAAAAGATTATTAGCTAAATCTGTTACATTTGTCATTATAGAATGATTTCGAGTCAGCATTTGGCATTACACATTTACATTAAAAAGAGATGGCCATGCAGATAATGGTGAACTGTAGTTAGAGCCTCACTCCCTAATTATGTGTTGTTTGTATCATGTTTTTTTATAATAATAACTCTATATAAATGCAAAATTAAACGGAATAAAGACTAATTACAGAAGTCTAAATTCTATTTACAGTATAAGCATCATATGGCTACTGGAATCATACAACTATAATTCATTTCTAATTTAATCAGATAGTGGATGACTATATTGCTTTCCTTTTGTTTTATTATTAGTTTTCCTAAATCAATTGTGTTTTTAAATTAATTGTGATTTTTAAAAAAGCTGTTTTTTATTTATTCAATATAAAGTTGCCCTTTAACACTATTTCTGCAACTGATAATACCTTGAATTAATAATATATATATTTGAATGAGTCATGTTGTGTGGGACTATATTGCTTATACTCCCCAGTATATAGACTGATATTGTTATTGTATGACTTCAACTAGTGCAGGTATTTTTTAAATTTAAAATAAAGAAAATGAATAGAGGTTGCTCATTGAGTGATAGGTAACTGTTTTTCCACTCTGACATAGGAAAACATATCTTCTGCACACAAGGGGAGAGATGAATCACTCTGTTGGAAAAAAAATAAGGAGAAAATGCAGTTTTCTTACAGCAGGAGGGGAGCTGTTGTAAATTGGTGGAAGCTTCTCTCTTTCCCTCTCAACTCCTGACAGCGCAAAATGTTCTCCATCCATCCTCTCGGCGTGGAAGAGCGGAAAAAGTTGTTTTTTCCCTGGAAAGACTCAGTCCTCTACAGCCTCTGCGTTCCTGCACCTCAGAGGGCTGCACATGTTTTTACCAGAGCCAGCTCTGACCCCGAGTTACCCGTGTGTCTGCTCGGTCTGCTCCGTTACTTCACATAAATCAGGGAGATTCACATCCTAAAACAAACGGAGTGAAATCTACCTTCGTCGGACAGGTGGGCTCTCCGTTACGCGCACAGCCTGACGCGTAAAACGTCTCCAAAAGCGGCACGTAAAGTCTCCGGTGGAAACCTTGAAAAAAGTGAAGTTGTTTTAGTTTTAAAGAGTTTTTAAAACGCGTTCAGGGTGGGCTGCTACCCGCTTCTTCTTCTCCTCCTTCTGTCCCTCTCTGCGTCGTCTGTCGGGGTAGCAGCAATGCTGCGGGCCGGCGCCATGTTTGGAGGAGGAGGAGGAGGCGCCTGGAGAGCAGAGCCTGGAGACGGCACCACACAAACACACAGAAGGGGAGAGAGAGAGAGA